GATTTAAATACACGAACAAAGACGAAACATATTGAAAAAAGTCTAGGATTAAGATCAATGTGATAATCAAAAATTAAACATGTTGATTGATTTATATTCAGTATTATTTATTCATATTTATTGAGAGTTATTAAATGAACAAAGAAAAAAAGAACACAACTAGCTTTAATGAAAAAATATATCTGAAGACCATATTTTACATACAAAACATTTATAACTTTGATGATGTAAATCATAGAAACATTCACCACAGATCATATGTCCACAACCATAAATAGCTATACCATCAATAGAATTACCCATAATACTCTTACATAATGGACATATTAATGGTTCAGCCATAATATCTAGATGAAAAATTAAGAGGAGTTAATTTGGAATTGAACTAGAAAAAAATTAGAGCTTACTCCTTTTATTTAAATATAATTGACGAGATGAATGAGAAGAAACAGCGATGATCTATTTATAAAAAAAGGCAGAATTTAGAAAAAAGAATAAATTGAACTATGTGATGCTTGCCTATTTATATGATGTTGGAAGGTTGTAAATATTTCTTAGTTTGAATTTAATAATGAGTTTGCATATGATCTGAATCTCGTTTTTATTACCATTCATCTCCTCTAACATTTATAATCGAAACCACCTACTGAGAGATGAAAAACAATGACCTCTTCTGTTTCCTCTTTCTTTTTATTTTATTTCGTCTTTTCTCTCCTTCTGTTATTCGTTATTCTCTTATGCATCAATCAATTAGATTATGACTGAGGAAATTACTTCGTCAAATTATCATTCTTCCTATTCTGTACTGTTATGAATTCATCTAGCATCAAGATTAAATTCATGTTCAGTTGCAATTGAAATCAATCCGCTTTCGAATGAAAAAAATAATCAAGCAGTGCATAGACAACGCAAATTTGTTTAAGAGAAACAACAAATTAAGCGTTCAATTTCAGTATTTCTCTGTTTTTTTAAATATTCCTTTTCATTTCTTTGATTTATTTGTTTCCTCATCTAGCAAAATCGTTCACTTCAAGTAACAAATGTTGAATTATTAAAATAACACGACGCAAACATCGCTACCTCTCTACTGAAAGGAACTATGCCATCGTGCATACCTTGTGTGAATAAAGAGCTATGGATCTGCTATTCTTACACATACTTAAAGGAACAAAAATTAAAGGAACAGTCGATGGATATATATATATGTATATGATAAAGTTTCTAAAAAGACCAAAGAAGTGTAGATCAGTCATAAAGAAAATTTTCACACATCAATCGGTCAGTTATTCTCAACCAGCCTTAACAGAGTATTGACAGTCACTAAATGTTCATATAGGCAAAATAGCTAACATGATTGATAAGAAACTTTCTTATTTTCATATTTCTGCTAGTGTTCAGCGAGACTTTTTTGGCTCCCCTTAAAAATCTATGGTGAAAAACCGTTGGAAGTAAAAGAGAACTGCTATATATAGTTTGTCACATTATTCAGCTCAAATATTGGATAAGTCATTTCACAGATGAGTTGGTCTTGATGTAGATCATTTTTAACTTGATACTCCTCATAATTTGACAATAACAGTCGAGTCAAGTGAGACCTATTTTGTCAGCTAAACTTATCATAGATTCGCGTTCCATAAAGTAGTTAGGTAATTCCATGGGGTTCCTCCCACCGTTACATATGTCATCTTCGATTAGTCTTCAAATAATATCATTGGATAGAACTTTTTAAGCTGATCATTTTGATTACCAAAGAAGTCTATCATTGATCGTACAATAAGAGACAAACTCACAAAATACAAAAATACGCATTTTGATTATTTTCTCCGACTTCAAATGTAATCGTTTTCATTATTTTGGCGAATATGAATCTAACTATTTTTTCTAATCGAAATTTCAACTCCACATTCGTGTAGACCATCGAAAAATCTTCAAGGTCATCCGCTTTTCAAGGTAAATTTAAATTATTTTTACTGGAACCTCACCAGCTGCTCTTTTCCACTCAGTAGCTAAAACATGCGAAAATGTTTGCTTATCATGTCATTCAAAAATGGAATTCGCGCAGAAAGCCCGATATACACTTCGATAGAGGAGCTTCTGCTCGATCGACCTATATAAATAACTTTTTATGGGAGTATCATTTTCTATGAAAATAGGAGGAAGAAGAACAAAAAGAATGCTGCTGTTTTTACATTTTTAGTAATGGGAGTTTTATATTGTTCAACTATTTGCTCTAATATTTTGCGATCAACAATAAAAATCAGCTTTAGATTCAAAATCAGCATTAAAAACTGCATCGAATGAGGCACTTTGAGTCAGGTAAAATTATTTTGTATGGAGTCTTGGTAAACAGACATTCATTCTACATTTATGTTGCTCGTACATAAAACTTTGCTAAAACCAAGTGTACCGTGGTCGGAAGCTAAATTATTAAGGGGCCTTCCCCCCTCAAAAATCGATCTCAGCCTAGATACGGTCAAATGGGCTGAAATTTGGAGCATGCGTTGGGGCTGAAGTGAGGAGGCTGTGGTAAAATTTTCAGCTCGATACCCCGATGTTTGACAGAGATATGAACCAAACAAGGGTCAAAAAATAGCTCATCTCATCTCCAAAAATTCTCTGTGGACCCTCATTATATATATATAATATTTTTTTTTGTTTGAAAGCTTGTCTCTAGGGCTAGCCCCTCTCGTGGCCCTTTTTTTAAATTCATACTTTTTAAGCGAAGAAAATGGATGGCAAGTTCAATGACTCAAAAAACCCCTTAAAAAATGGCGCCTTTTCTATAAAGATGTGTTCTTATATAATAATAAAAGAGCTTATTTTAAAAAAAGGGCCACGAGATGGGCTAGCCCTAGAGACAAGCTTTCAAGCAAAAAAAAAATATTTGACTTTGTATCGTACTGTGATAGGGGGTATGCTGGAGATACTGAAAGCCATCGGGCATAAAAAGCCATGTGCAGTAAAATTGTTATATCTCTAGCTAAGTATCAAGGAATGGAGCTGAAATTTTCAGTGAAGCGAGGATGACCCATCTTCAATGTGCCCTGAAATTTTCAGCCCTGTACAATGAC